CGTCGTGGGCGGCGGCGAAGATGGCCTCGACGCGCGCGAGCGCCGCCGTCGCGTCGCCGAGGCGCCGCGCGGCCGGCGGCGCGGGCGCGGGCGGCGGCGCGTCGGCGATCTCGGCGGCGTCGGCGGCGTCCGCGGCCGTCTCGGCGGCGGCCGCTTCGGGAGCCGCGTCGGCCGCCGCCGACGGGGACGCCGCGGCGTCGCTCGCGACGGCGGGCGCCGCCGCGTCGGCGGCGGCCGCCTCGGGAGCCGCGGCGCTCGCGACGGCGGGCGCTGCCGCGTCGGCCGCGGGCGCTGCCGCGTCGGCCGCGGGAGATTCGGCGGCGTCGGCGGGCGCCGCCGCATCCGCGGGCGCTGCCGCGTCGGCGGCGGGAGCTTCGTCGGCGGCGGGCGCCGGCGCCTCGGCGGCGGCGGCGGCGTCGGCGGCGTCGGCGCCGCCCTCGCGGGCCTTGGCCGCGGCGCGCTGCGCGCGGCGGAGGGCGCCGAGGAGGAGCTGCTTGAGGAAGGTCGGGTCGTGGCGCGCGCGGCGGTCGAGCTGCTTCTGCGCGCGGACCGCCGCGAGGTGGTCCTTGACCTTTTGCGCGTGCGCGAACGCGAACGCGCGCACGAGCTCGTCGACGCGCGGCGCCTCCGCCGGGTCGAGGTCGAGGGCGACGCAGACGGCGGCGGCGGCGCGGGGGCCGTCGTCGCGGCCCTTGCCCTTGCCCTTGCCCTTGCCGCCGCGGCCGCGGCCCTTGCCCTTGCCGCCGCCGGAGCCGCGGCCCTTGCCCTTGCCGCCGTCGCGGAAGCCCTTGCCCTTGCCGCCGTCGCGGAAGCCCTTGCCCTTGCCGCCGCGGCCGCCCTTGCCGCCGCGGAAGCCGCCCGTGCCGCCGCGGCCGCCCTTGCCGCCGCCGCGGCCCTTGCCGCGGTCGCCGCGGTCGCCGTCGCCGCGGTCGCGCGGCGGCCGCGGCGGCCGCGGCTCGCGGCCGTCGTCGCGCGGCCGCTTCCGCGGCATCTCCGGCACGGTCGGCGCGCCGGCGTAGGCCGGCCACGCGCCGAAGATCGGCGCCGAGGCAGCGGTCGACGCAGCGAAGGGCGGCGGCATCGCCGGCGAGGGCTGCGCCGGCGCCGCGGGTGTTGCCGGCGCCGCTGGTTGCGCGTTTTCCGCGTAGCCGGTCACGGGCTTGCGCTTCTTCTTCGCCGCTTGCAAGGAGGCCATGAACGAGTCCATCGCGCGCGGCGCGGCTGCCGGCGGTGGTGCTGCGGCTGGCCCACGCGGTGCTGCGCTGCCGAGATCGGCGAAGCTCAAAAATACCACAAGTCTTCGCGCCAAAACAGCTCGCTCAGCAACTCTCGACGCCTCGAGCGTGCGCGCCGACGCGTGTGCACTATGCCCATCTCCGTACCGTCGCGCCTGATCCACGGCGCCATCGCGCTCTACCACTTCGTCGGCGTCGTCCTTCTCTACAAGGGCTGGCCCTTCGTCGGCAAGGGGAACCTCGCGCAGCAGAGCAGCTACGGCCGCTCCTTCGTGCCCGAGGAGGGCTCGAAGGACTTCACGTGCTTCGGCCTCAACAGCCAGATCATCGTCGGCGTGCTCTACGCCAAAGTCGCGTTCTACGGCGACAGCAACCTCGCGGCGACGCTCTGCCTGCCGCGCTCGCTCATCGTCGTCCTCCACGCGGCCGCGGTGCTCCTCGGCCGCATGTCGTCCGGGTTCCTCGTCGTCGTCCTCGGCGAGGCCGCGACGCTCGCGTGCGTCTACGCGTCGCTGCCGGCGCCGTCGCGCGTGGCCATCCTCCAGGCGCCGCCGTCGCCGGGCCGGCTCTTCAAAACGCCGAAGCGCAAGACCGCGGCGAAGTCCCACCAGTCGTGAGCCGCGACGACGTAACGGCCGATTACTCGCGGCTGAAGAGGGACCCCTTCGGCGGCGGCGCGCGGGGCTCCGCGTAGTCGAGCAGCGCGCGGAGCTCGTCCCCCGAGCCCGCGCTCAGGACGCCGGAGCCGACGACCGCGGGGACGAGGTAGAGCAGCGCCGGCTGGCCCGCGCGGACGCACTCGTTCGCGTAGAACGCCGCGCAGAGGCCGACGGAGTACGCGACCACCGCGTTGCGGCGCCACTTCGCCTCGCCGCGCGCGTCGCCGTAGCGGCCGAGGAAGGCGACCATGAGCGACGGCAGCGCGACGTCGCCGAGGCCCAGCAGGGCGAAGGGGTTCGCGGACCCCGGCGCGTTCGGGGCCACGAGCTTCACCGGCGCGTCGATCTTCGTCGCGACGGTGACCATGATGTCCGACGCGAAGACGAAGAAGATGTCGTAGAAGAAGAGGCCGCCCAGGAGCGCCGCGCCGACCGCGAAGCTCCGGAGGGGCACGGTCCGCGCCGCGAAGAGCGCCAGGGACCAGCCCAGGAAGTTCGCCGCGCCGACCTTGACGACGAGGTCGTCGAGGCCGACGAGGCTCCCGCCGAGGTAGACGGCGGCGAGAATCACCGTCGCCGCGGCCGCCGCGGCGTTGGCCGCGTCGGCGGCGACGAGCGCGTCGAAGCCGTCGTAGAAGACGATGAAGCTCGCCAAGGACGCGAAGAGCGACGTGAGCAAGCGGTAGCCCAGCGACGGGTCGATCTTCAGCACGGTGATGACGAAGTAGAGGCCCGTGAGGCTGACGCCGGCGGCGACGGGCGCGAGCGCGGCCTGCTTGAACGTGAGCTGCTCCTCGGGCGGCGCGAGCGACGGCGCGCGGCTGCCCAGGTAGACCGTCGTCGCGCTCAGCGCGAGGAAGAAGACATAGTGCGACAGCTTGTCCGTCGTGACCACGGGGATGGCCTGCGCGGCGACGGCCAGCGCGTAGGCCGGCGCGTCCTTGGCCACCGGGTTCTCCAGCTCCTCCGGCGCGGCGCGGACGATGATGTTGTTGGCGGTCCTGCCGGCGTCGGCGGTCTTGCCGGCGGTCCTGCGCGCCGGCAAGTGTGTGTGTGGCGGCGGCGCGAAGGCGTGCACGTTGGCGACGACGCATGCTGCGAGCAGCAGCGACTTCAGTTGCGGCACGGCCATGCTGCGGCTGCACTATCTGGCTGCACTGAGGTCTTGTTGCACTTCAATTTGAAGCCTTGTTTAGCCCAAGGAGGAGCCCCCGGGCCCCGGAATCGATAATCGACCTGGGCGTCTCGAGTGGCCTCCGGCTGCGGCCCGCCCCCCCCCCCGTCCCCCGTGCGGCTAGCGGCGCACGCGGCATCGTCCCAGCGCCCCGTCTCGTCGTACTGATCCCATCTCGACCTGGGCACCGAGCCTCGTCTCGAGCCGCCTCGGCTGCGACCCGCGCCCCGCGCGACGCGACGCGACGCACGTGCAATGGAGGGCGGCGGCGACGACTACACGGGCGTGTGCGGCGTGTGCGGCACAGAAACTCCGCTAGTTTGCGCGAATTGCCGTTCCGTGCGCTTCTGTTCGAAGTCGTGCCAGAAACGGGCTTGGAAGGATCAGCATCGAGCTGTATGCGGCACTATCAAGGGAGTGCGAGCCCAGATCAAAGCCAACAAGCTCGTGGCGCGCGGGACGAAGAAGGAATATCGTGAGGAGCTCGTCACAATGATAGGAGAAAACACCTTGATCAAAGAACCTTCGTTCAAAGCAAATGGGCGCCTTCGTGGAAAGCAGCCGCGCTGCACACGGATCGGCTGTAATGCGCCTGCCGCCGTCGGCGTTCGTTACGTCAGCTCCTTCAATCCAGAAAGGAAACGCAGCACGTCCTGCGAATCTTGCTGGATCACGGTGCTCAAAGAAGCCTGCGATCACATGCGCGGAGACAAATTCGACCTACATCGGAAATTTGAGGGGATCGAGGACGCACACAAATATGTCCGGCCGGGTAAGCAGCCGGGGCCCGCGGTCACGAGGCGCGGCCCAAAGTTCAAGCAGGTTAGCGCCGGCAAGGCCTGAGTGCACATGCGCTCGACATGTCCTAGAACTGCGCCATCACTGGATAGAAAAATGACGAGTATGTTAAAAGCAACGCTAGACGAGGAGGCTGCTGTTCTTCTTGTTGATGGCGGCGCAGGCCTGGGCCGCCGCCGCCGCGGAGAGGGCCGCGCCGTCCTGCGGGGCCTCCGGGTCCGCCGCGCCGAAGACGCCGCCGAGGACGCCCGTCCGCGGCGCGGCGTTGGACAGGCGGTCGAAGAGCTCGCAGGCGTCGCCGACGTCGTCGGCGTCGATCTTGCCCAGCGTCAGCAGGAAGCGGAGCGCGAACTCGTGCCTCGACAGCGCCGCGCCCGGCGCGTCCGCGGGGAAGATCGCCGCGACCTTGGCCGCGTCGACGTCGCTCCGCTCCCCGAACCCGAAGGCCTCGAGGGCCTCCGTCACGTAGGTGATGCCCAGCTCCTGGCGCGGGTACGAGCTCAGCAGCCCGACGACGCGCGCGAAGACCAACGTCGCCGTCACTGCGTAGAACACCGTGAAGACCTTCCCCGCGGACGTCGACGCCTCGTCGTTGCCGTAGCCGATGGACGTCATCGTCTCCGTGGACCAGAGGCACGCGCGCACGTAGGACCAGTCCTCCATGGCCATGATCGCGACGGTGCCGATGAAGAAGACGACGAAGATCTGGAAGACCTGGTGCCCCAGCCGGCTCCGGAAGAAGTCGGCCTTCGTCCGCGCGGCGCGCACGATGCGGCTCTCGCCCGTCGCGCGCGCGGCGACGTCGTGGTGCAGCGTCTTCTCGAGCGCCGCGCCGTCGCCGTCCGCCTCCTGGAGCAGCAGCCGCACGTACGTGTTCTCCGCGGCCTCGTGGACCGCGGCGATGATGACGGCCAGCGCGACGCCGGCGCAGAGCACGCTCAGCCACATGTACAAGATGAGGTAGAAGTCCTCGCTGGACCCGTCGGACGCCTCGTCGGGGCTGCTGTAGCCGATCGTCGTCACGGTGATCGCGAAGAAGTAGAGCGAGTTGAGCAGCCCCAGCCCCAGGAAGTTGCCGTACCAGATCGTGTAGCAGAGCGCCACGGCCAACACGCAGGGCAGCGCGACGACGAGGCGCAGGCGCGCGTCGCGGCCGCTGCTCCGGTGGCTGTAAAAGGCCCGGATCGACTCGACGACGGTCTCCGGGCCGCCCTCGCCGGGCTGGAGCCCGCTGTGGCGCCGCGTCGACGAGGGGCTCATCGGCGCCACGGCCGGGTGGGGGTCCACCTTACTCGGCGGGGCTCGCGACGTGCCCATGACGCTCCCGTAGCTAGCCATCGTAAGCGGGAATGACGAGCGAAATTGAGAAACGCTGCAAGTTGGCGTGTGAGGCAACATGTGCGTCCCCTTCAATAACTAGTCAAACATCGACTCCACCGGCCAAGTTGAGGCATCTCGGAGAGGCGATAGAAGCGCAGCTCCAGCGCTGCTGCTCCACAACCTGCCGGCCATGCCGCCCAAGGAGAAGGAGCGCCGGCGCCTCGGCCCGCAGCGCAACGCGAAGAAGGCGCCGAAGAAGACGAGCGACGACTGGGAGAGCATCAAGGACGACGACATGCTCACGCTGCCGCCCGGCGCCGCGCCGGAAGAGAAGGAGGAGCCGCGCGACGACCGCTGGCACTGCCCGCCCTGGTACGACGGCGACGCGCGGTGCCTGCTCGTGACGGAGGCGGACTGGCTGGCCTACACGCGGGCGGAGGAGTTGCCCGCGGCGCCGCCGACGCTCGACAGGGGCGCGGACGTCGAGGCGCTCGTCTCCGGCTGCGGGTCCGTGCCGCCGTGCGTGTCCGTGCCGGCGGCGGAGCTCGGCGTCGCCTTCGCGCACGCCCGGAAGGACGGCCTCGTCCTCTGCGCCTACGCCGAGGAGATGGACGGCGTGCGGAGCCTCGACCTGCTGAAGCAGACGACGGCGCCCTCGATGTACGAGGTCGTCCGCGACCTCAAGACCATGCTCTGCGGCGTCGCGCGCGACCCGAGCTGGTGCGCGGCCCTCGCCATGGAGCTGGACAAGCTCGCGGGCGGCTGCGCGCGCCGCGTCGAGGCGTCGAACAAGCTGCGGGACGCGAGGAAGGCCTTCGAGGAGCGGCGCGGCGCGTTCCTCGCGTCCTTCGACGACAAGGTCGCCAAGTCGCTGCCGCTCGACGAGCACGACCGGGCCCAGCAGGCCGCCGCGGCCCAGATCGACGAGCGCCTGGCGCAGATCGACAAGCTCCTCGACCAACTCGCGGACGTCCCGCAGCCGCCCGAGCCCGAGCCCGAGCCGGAGCCTGAGCCGGAGCCCTTCCAGCCGTACCTCGACCGCGAGTTCGTCGACGAGAAGGCGCCGGACCCGGACTACGAGGGCGGCGACGAGGGCGGCGGCGACGCGGGCGGCGACGACGACGACGACTCCGAGAAGGAGGACGAGACGGTCGTCCTGCCGCCGCTCGCGCCCGCGCGCGCCGACGGCGCCGAGGTGACGCTGCCCAAGTACGAGCGCCGCGGCGAGTCGCGCCGCGTCGCGACGCCCGAGGAGACCGAGGCGCTGAAGCGCGGCCTCGAGCGGTCGGGCTTCACGCCGCCGCCGCCGCCGGACGCGCCGGCGCCGCCGGCCGAGGGGCCGAGCGCGCTGCTGGACCAGGTCCTCGCCATGATCCTCATGCGGCTCCCCGCGAAGCCCGACGTCTCCGCGGCGGCGCACACGGCGTGGCTCCTCCAGAAGCACACGGACGTCGTCAACCAGTGGCGCGACGAGGTCGGCGTGCTGCCGCGCGCGACGGACGCGCTCCGGCCCGAGGACCTCGCGCGGCCCGGGCGCGACTAAAGACGCCTTAGTGGCGGCGCGTCAGGTGGGGGTTTCGCTGGTTGAAGATGGTCTTGGGCCCGCGGAAGGCGCGCAGACTCGACTGGTACAGCTTGTCGCCGACGACCTCCTTGAACATGCCGCTGCCCGCGTTATTCTCGCGCATCAACGTCGACGCCAGGGATTCCGCGTCGTCGTCCAGCGCCATGTCCGCGTAGTGGCCCAGGCGCTGCCGCAGCTTCGCGCCGGGCCCGAAGTGCGCCTGCTGCCCCGCGCGCCACGTCATGGTGCCGTGGAGCGGCTCCGGGTTCGTCGACCGCGAGGACGCGTCCGAGGGGAAGCTCCGCCCGCTCTGGCGGCTCGACGCGCGCGAGCCGCCGGGGAAGCAGCGCGACCCCGGCCGCGAGCCGAGGCCCGTCGGGGACGCCGCGCCGTAAAAGGCCGGGTGGCCCGACGGGCCCGCGGCGACGTCGCTCACGGCGTTGGACCACTTGTCGTAGCTCGGGACCACGCGCGCCTTCCGCGCGAGCAGCCGCGCGTGCCAGAACGACGACGACCCGGCCGACGCGACGTCGCCCTTCTTGCTCTCCTCGTGGCAGCAGGCCTCCATGGCCCGCTTGCCGAACCGCGAGATCGTCGACGCCTGGCGCAGGAGCGGCTCGTTGCTCGACTCGAGGTAGTTCGTGCGGCTCCGCTTGTTGCGGCTCTGTTCGACGATGGGCACGAGGTCCGACGGCGCCAGGAGCAGCGACATCGGGCTGGCCTTTTCCGAGGGCGGTGGTTCCCTAGGCCGAGGGCGGCGCCAGGAGCGGCGACACCGGGCTGCCCCGGGTCGAGGGCGTCGGTTCGCTAGGCCGAGAGCAGCGCCATCATGCTCTCCGGGGGGCTGGGGAGAAGTTGCACCCAGGTGGGCAGCAGTATCCTTAATCACGACGTTATTGCAGCCCACCCCGGAGCGGCAGCGCTATGAGCGCCCCCGGCGAGGCGCCGCCCGAGGACCCGGTGAAGCGGGAGACGAGCATGACGGCGGCCGTGCTGCTGCGGCGGTCCCTCGTGGATAAGCAGATGGTCGACACGGAGGCGACGATCAAGAGCTACGAGGAGCGCCAGGACGACACGAAGGCCCAGATCATCCGGCGGCGCAACGCCCAGGCCGAGGTCTACGCCTTCGTCAACAAGCGCCTCGAGGAGAACTTCGACAGCATCGCCCAGCTCGAGACGTCCATCAACGCCGCCGAGGCCGAGGGCCGCGAGGCGCGGCGGCGCTTCGCGGAGGAGGAGGCGGCCGCGCGGTCCGCGAACGCGAAGGAGATCCACGCCCACGACGGCGAGGTCGAGCGCTGCGACGGCGAGCGCAAGGCCCTGGAGGCCTTCGCCGCGGAGCGGGGCGGCCTCACGGCCCACCTCGTCGCCGTCCACGCGCGGTGCGAGCTCGTCGAGGAGGAGCGCCGCGCGGCCGAGCGGAGCTTCCTCGGGTCCTGCGAGGCGGACAGGAAGATGCTCACGCGCGAGGCCGCCGAGGCCGCGGCCCAGGCGCGCAAGGTCGCCCTCGAGGACGCGAAGCAGAAGCTCGACAAGACCACGCGGCGCCGCATCGGCGAGCTGTCGCGCATGAAAAAAGAGCTCGCGCTCCACGCGTCCGAATCCGCCAAGCTCGAAACGGCCAACGCGGCGCTGAAAGCCAAGGTCGACGCGCTGTCGGCGTCGCTCCGGTCCGTGCGCCGGGACCACAAGGACCTCGCGAAGCGCACGTCGACGCGGCGGAGGAAGGAAAGGGGCGACCGCGAGCTCCAGCAGGCGGAGGACCGCGACGCGAAGACGCGGGAGACGCGCGAGCGCACGGCGTCGGCCCTCGCGGCGGAGGACGTCGTGCGCGACGCGGCCATCGCCGCGCTGCGGGCCGAGCTCGACGAGGCGTCCGCCGAGCGCGACGACGCCGCGAGGGAGGCCGCCGCGCTCCGCGACGTGCACGCGGCGACGTCGGGCGACCAGGACTTCGAGGTCGCGGCGCTCTTCGTCGCCGCCAAGCACGCGCTCCCCCCGGCGCCGCGGCCCCGGACCCAGCAGATCGCCCTCCCGAAGACGCGCGGCTCGAGCTCGAGAACCCCGAAGACGCGCGGCGCCCCGCGGACGGCCGGGGGCTTCTACGCTTCGGAGGCGAACAAGCTGCCGCGGCCCAAGCGCGACGACTTCGTCGAGCTCCTCTTCTCGCACCTCTACCAGATGCAGCAGATCCAGTTCCAGGAGCAGGCCGAGGCCGAGCGGCGCGCGGAGCTCCTGGCCGCGCGGCGCGCGTGCGCGGGCCCGCCGCTCGTCGACGGCTCCGTCGCCGACTCGCTCTCCGTGCTCAGCTCCGCGACGGAGAAGTTCGGCTTCGACGAGGCGAGCCTGGGCTCCGCGTCCCTCGACGTCGCCACGATCTCCTCCGGCGGCGACCGCTCCGTGCCGCCGTCGTCGCGGAGCCGCGAGAGCGGCGGCTCGAGCGCGCTCCCGCAGTCCGTCGCGTCGGGCAAGACGACGGGCGCGATGACGGCCGAGACGGCGGCCGTGCCGCACCAGAGCGACGTCATGTCGCTCCTCAGCGTCGAGGAGCGGTCCTACATGTCCCAGTCCCTCGACGAGGGCCACTCCGTCGGCGAGCTCGACGTCGACTCGCTCGTCAAGGGCGCGGAGAAGACCGCGCTCCTCCGGGGCCACACGCCGGGCTCGCCCCTCGGCTCCAAGCGCGACAAGCCCCCGCCGGGCCACTCGAAGCTCGCGTCGTCGTCGTAACGACTCTCGAGGGGATGCCCCGAAATCGGCGAATGGTTGCACATCACCTTGAACTTCAAATTTACCACGGGAGCGCGTCGGCGAGGCGCGAGCGGCGCCGGGCGCTCCGCGGCGACTCGTCGGCGACGACGAGCGCGGCGATGTCGTCGCTGCCCAGGTCCGACAGGCAGCCGCAGCTCGAGCCGGCGTCGCACGCGGCCGCGTCCGCGTCGTCGAAGGCGCCGGGCGCGTCGGGCGTCTCCGGCGCGAAGCTCGAGTCGTCGGCGTAGCTCGAGCCGTCGCCCGACTCCCCGTGGCCCAGGCGCGGGGAGTTCCCCGGCAGCTCGAGGCCGCCGACGACGTCGTCCGCGAGGAACGACGCGCCGTGCGTCAGCACGGCCTCGACGCTCCGCCGCGTGTCCTGCTCCGTCGCCGCGGAGCTGCTCCGCGGCGGCCGCGGCGACTCGGGCGCCCGCGCGGGCTCGCGGAACCGCTTCGAGCCGATCGTGATCGTCGGCCGGTGGCCGTCGCTCGGCGCCGGCGCCGGCCGCGGCGGCGGCGGCCGCCCCGCGAAGAAGCAGCTGTACTCCACGAGGCACTCGCGCACGCGCGGAGGCACGGGCGGCGGCGCGAAGGCGACGACGACGCACCAGTCCACCAAGACGTAGACGGCGATCCACGCGGCCTCGCCGAAGACGAAGGCGTCGACGGTACACGCCGGCTGGTGGCAGCTCGCGGCCTCGAGCTTGACGATCGTGAACGCCGTCACGCAGAACCAGACGCTCTCGAGGACGATGACGACGCTCAGGCACGTCAGCCGCGCGATGACCGCGCGGATCGCCGCCCGCGTCCGCTCGGACCGCGCCGCCGCGTCGCCGGCCCCGAGGAGCTGGCGCCGCACGTTGAAGCCGTGCCGCAGGCACTCGAGCATGAACGACACCTCGAGCAGGCCCCGCCCCGCGTGCTTCGCGAGATTCAGCCGGGACCGCACGCAGCCCCCGCGGTCGTCCGGGTGGTGCTCCGTCGCGCACAGGGACACGTTGAGGCCCACGGCGACCGTCGCGAAGACCTCGAAGCGCCGCCGACGGAACGCCGCGGCTGCCTGCGCCGCGCAGGTCTCGCCCGCGCGCCGCAGCGAGCCGGAGAATCCCTCCGCGGCGAGCTTCCGGCCCTTGAAGCGGCGGACCATGCCGTCGATCGCGTCGCGGTAGGCCACGCAGTACTTGAAGATGACGAGCTCGCAGCACAGGTGCGCGGCGCAGATCGCACCGTCGCCCACGGCCGGCGGGAAGCGCCGCGCGAAGCCGTTGATGTCCGAGAAGGCCACGGCCTGGCACGCGAGGCTCGCGAGGTGGACGTAGAGCACCTCCTCGAGCGCGTTCCGCCGCTGGTCGCGGCGCTCGCGCCGCGCGGCGCGGGACCGGACGACGCCGCGGACGACGAAGCCGCCGCAGACCAGCGTGTTCGCGAGGCAGAGCGCCGTGACGACGTCGAAGGCGCGGCGCGGCACGAGCTCGGCCCAGGACCGGTCGCAGTCGCGGCCCCAGCGGTAGAAGCCGCAGGGGTGGCGGTGCGCCGTCCACTCGCGGAGGCACGGCCGCACGCGCCACTCGTCGTCGCCGCCGTCGGTCATCGCCCCCGCCCCGGTCAAGGCGCCGGCGCTCAAGCCTTCTTTCTCACTCGCCCCTCCTCCTGCGTCCGTCTCGCGCCGTCGGCCATGCCTTTAAACTTGCGCATCGTGGGGCCTCCTTTTAGGGCTGCCTCAAGCATTTCATATTTTCTAATTTACCCATCGATGCAGCCCACTTCGGAGAGCAAGCTGATGGGGTGGAACGACAAGCTCGACGCGGGCCTCGCGCACTGGGTCGTCTGCGGGAAGCGCGGCGCCGCCGTGCGGTCCGGCGTGGCCATCGCGTCGGAGCTCGTCACGGTGCTGGCGCCAGGGACGGCGGTAGTAAGCGCCGGGGCGCCGACGGTCGAGGCCAACCTCGAGCGGCTCCGCCTCGTCCAGCCCGCGGCCGGCTACGTGTCGCGCAAGGTGCTCAAGCGCGTCGACGCGCCGGAGACGCCCGCGCCGATCAAGGCGCCGGCGCTCCCGAAACCGCCGTCGCTGAAGACGCCGGCGTCCGCGAAGCTGCCGCTCTACTTCGTGAACACGGACGCGTGCGGCGACCGCCGCGCGCTCCAGGAGAAGCAGTGCGCGGCGCTGGACATGGTGCCGCGGCGCGTCAGGGCCGTCACGCCGACCTGCGCCGCCTACGTCGCCGCGCAAAACGACCCCGCGCGGTCGCCGCACATGATCCCGACGGACGACGTCGCTACGGGCGCGGGCGCGAACGCGATCGTCCTAAGCTTCCTCGAGGCCTTCCGGGCGGCGGCGGCGGGCGCCGGCGACGCCCACGAGGCGCGCCTCGTGAGCGAGGACGACGCCCACTTCCCCGCGGACTTCCGCGCGCGCCTCGCGGTCCTCGCGGAAAAAATGCCCGCGACCGTCGACGCGGTCTGGCTCTGGTCCAGCACCTACGCGGAGTCCCGGGAGCAGCTCGGCATCCCCGAGCCGCCCGGCGGCCACGGCGTCGGCGCCTTCTACGAGACCTGGCCGCGCTACGCGCGCGGCGCCGGCGGCTGGAAGGGCGCGCTCGTCATCACGTGCCAGCCGGGCATCTGCCTCACGACGCGGCGCGGCGCGGCGAAGATCGCCGACGCCATCGCGGCGGCCATGGCCCGCGAGCGCTGGCAGCCCTTCGACGTGGCCATGCCGACGCTCGGGGCCAAGTCCGAGACCGACGCGTCGTTGCCGCGCATGGTCCTCGCGGCGGATTTGGCGTTGATGACGCAGGTGACGCTGAAGTCGGTCCGCGCGAAGGAGAGCCACAAGGCCGCGGCCCGCGAGTCGTTGCTCGCGGCGCCGGAGGCCGGCGCGCTCCTCGAGCGGTCGGCGTCGGGCGACCACGCCGCCGACGCGGCCCTCGGCGAGATCATCACGACGAAGCTCAAGCGCGCGGTCGCGGAGCGGAACCTCGTCAAGCAGCTCGGCCTCACGGAGAAGGTCGACAGCGGCGCGCTGGCGAACCTCCTCCGACCGAAGTCGGCGCCCCTCTCCAAGGACCCGGACACCGTCGCCCGCGCCACGGCCTTCACGGACGCCATCTTCGCCAAGGCGCTCTAGACCTGTTGTTGAAGCGCGCAATTTAAAACCAATCACAATCGATTGGCCTGGAATTCACCATGTTCTCGCTGCTAGCGCTCGCGGTCACGGCGTCCGCGCTGACGAGCCGCTGCGACGACCTGCGCTGGGCCGACCCGCGAGTGCACCAGCCCGTGAGCGAGAAGAACGGCAGCTTCACTGCGCAAAAAGGCTATTCGTGGCATATTCACTACCTGCACTACACACACGAGGAAGAGGCGGCCGTGCAGCGCTTCCAGCGCGACTTCTGCGCGGCGTTCGCGAAGTACGGCAAGGGCGGCAGCGTCGAACCGAGCCCCTGGGGCCCCAACTGCATCGCCGACGGCGCGAAATACATCTACGGCGCGTGCGCCGCGACCGCGCTCGCGACGCGGTCCAACGGGTGGACGTGTGGAAACGGCACCTGTCCGGTCGGCGAACCCCCGGAGGGCCCGTGGAGCACGTGCCAGAACGAGTTTTACGTGCCCGCCGTCTACATCGACGAGGTCGCGGGCTGGGTCCGCGCGTACGAGAACCTGACGATTCCCGTCATGCGCCATCCGAACAGCGGCTGCCAGTGGGGCGACCACTCGCCGGACTCGCGCGCCGAATTCCTCGGCGCGGCGCGGGTCCCGGAGATGTGCCTCTGGGGGCTGCCCTGCAACTCGCCGGGCTACGGCTGCGTCGACGGCATGTGCGGCGCGCTCGACGGCACGCGCGGCCACCAGCACGCGGCCGGCTGCGCCGCCGAGGTCCACTCATAGAAACACGTGAGAACCCCCCCCTTTGGCGCCTACTCGGGCGTGATGGGCCGGTCCTCGCCGGCCTTCATCTTCTGGAGCATGACGATGTAGTGGTTCGTCGGCGGCTTCTCGGACATGTCGGGGAACTTGGCGAGCTCCGCGCAGGCCGCCTCCATCGTCGTCGTCGCCTTGGGCAGGTCGCCGAGCTTCCAGACGGCCAGCGCGACGGCGCCCTGGAGCACGCCCGCGTCGGGCTTGTCCGGCGCCGTCTTCAGGAGGACGGCGACCGCGCGCTCCTCGACGGCCACGGCCTCGTCGCACGAGCCGATCTTCCGCAGCACGGCGCCGAGGTCGACGCAGGCCGCCGCCATGGACGCGTCGTCGGGCCCGCGGTGCTGCTCGATGAGCTGCACGCAGCGCCGCAGCAGCTTCTCCGCGTTCGCGAACTCGCCGGAGAAGGCCTTGACGAGCACGCCGGCCATCTTCTCCATGGGCTCCACGAGCTCGATGGACTCGGGCCCGAGGCGCTTCTCGAGGATCGCGTAGCCGCGCTCGTACATGGCCAGCGCCTTCTCCACGCCCTGCGCGTTCTTCTTTCGACTGCAGTCGCCCATGGCCACGAGCAGCGTCGCGACGTCGAGGTGGTCCGCCCACGCGGGCGTCGCGTCGTAGAACTCGAGGACGGCCTCGTAGCATTTCAAAGCCTCGCTAAGCTTGTTCGTGCTCCAGGGCGACTTCTCGTACTTCTCCTCGGCCTTCCGCGCCTTGTCGAGCTGCGCCTTCATGTTCGCCGGCAGGGGCTCCGGCTCGGGCACGGGCGCCGGGGCCGACGCGACGCTGCCCGACGCGACGGTCACGACCGTCGCGTTGCCCTCGGCGTCCACGGTCTTCGTCGACACGGCGCCGAGGTCCGGCTCCGAGCCGGACGCGGCCAGGGGCGCCGACATGACGGGTCCGCCTCTTCTCTCTCAGGACGGCTGCCCAGGTCAGGACGGCTGCCCAAAGGTCGAGGCGGCTCGGCGCTGAGAGCAACTCTAATCTATTGCGAAACTCTCCCGAGGCTCAATATAGGATTCACCATCGATTCAGCTTTAGCCTGTGGACCTCGACGTGCGCTCACTCATGCGCTCATCTCATGCGCTCTCCCTCTGCCCTGCCGGCCGGCGCGCCATGATTCACCGGCGACGCTGCGGTATGAGCACTCTTAACCGCGCGCGCGCCATGGTCGCCGCGCTGTGCTTGGCGTGCGGCACGACCGCCTTCGTCGGCCCACACAACAAACAACCGCTCCGCGCGCCGCCGCGCCGCGCCGCCGCGACCGCCGAGGTCGACGCGCTGAAGCAGGATCTGCTGACCTCCATCGGCAGGCGCGCCGGCGAGGCGGAGATCCTGCGGCGAGCCGCGCGCGTCGAGGAGACGGACGTGCGCACGGGCGACGTGAGCGGCCGCTGGGCCTTGGTCTACTCGACGCAGACGGCGTCGCCCCGGCCCGGCTCCGCGCTGCTGAGCGACCTGCCGCAGGAGATCTCGAACCGCATCTACGGCCTGCTCTTCAAGGTCGCGCCCTTCCTCGCCGGCGGCGACTCGCGCGACCGCGACGGCCCGCTCAAGGTGGCGAACGAGCAGGTCGTCGACGTGGCCGCGCGCGTCGTCGACAATCGCGTGCGCATCACGGCGCTCGGCCGGACCCTCAAGCTCCGCGTCTTCGGCTCCGCGGAGGCGACGGACGACGCGGACCGGCTGGCCATCACCTTCGAGGGCTTCGACGTCAACGACGTCGTGACGCTCCCGCTGCCGCGGCCCCGGGGCGAGATCGTGACGACGTACGTCGACGGCGACCTCCGGCTCTCGCGGGGCTCGCGCGGCGGCCTCTTCGTGCTCAAGCGCATGCCCGCGGGGTCTTAAGTCGGGGCGCCGACCTACATGGCGGCGAGGATGCCGGCGACGGAGAAGCCGGCCATCAGGGCCTCCGGCACGTAGTGCATCGGGTACTTGACCGGGAGCTTGGAGATGTACGCGGCGTTCCAGGGGTAGACGAGGCCGGTGAGCACGTTGTAGACGACGAGGGGCCTGCGACGCGTCGCGCGTGACGCGCGGAATCGCGCGGGACGCGGCGTCGCGCAGGAAGACCGTCTCCAGCGGCAGCTTCGTGAGGGACCAGGCCATCCACATGATCGACACGCCCGCGCCGCGCGCCATGAAGATCGCGAGCGGGTCCGCGGGCCCTTGGAAGTGGTCCTCGATGAACTTCTTCGTCATCAGCGTGAACCTACCAAGTGCGACGGGGTCGGATTTCTTCACATCTTCAGGCGAAATTCACGCGAAAAAACACTCCTTCGCTCGACGCTGGCGTGAGCTGGATGCCGTAGATGCCGTAGACCCACGCGCAGGCCTTGACGAAGCCCTCCTTGGGGACGAGCGCGCCGCCGCGGACCTCGACGGCCGCGCGGAGCCGCAGCGTCGCGGCGCGCTTCGGCGTGGCCAGGGCCGACGCGCCGAGGAGCAGGGAGAAACAGAGGAGTTTGCGGATCATCTTCGGTGCCTGCGTTGTGGGGTTTAGGCTGCCCCGCTTGAGCGTCTTCCAATTTACTAAAAAAGATCCCGCTACGATCCCGCTACAAGCGGCAGTGTCCAGTACCAAACTAGCGCAGACGCTGCGACGTGCGATGCAAACGACGGCTGTCCACTAGAATGCGCTGCCAAAGAATCAGAATCAAAGATCGCGACACGGGCAGCCGCACAAACACCAAGCACAGCAACATCCACGACACTCCACGACGTTTCCTCTTCAACACGCAGAACCGTCTCGATCGTGAGGCTCCCCGCTCGACCGCTCGGTTTTGCGCCGGCGCACGCCGCCACAGTTGGCCGCGCCGTCGTCTCTTACATCACCTTCGTCGTCACACGCACGTTCCTCAGGGAACCTTCACCACCTCCACGATCGCACGCATCGCCCGCGCGCCGCCGCCCGCGCGCCGTGACCCGATCGCGCGCATCGCCCGCGCGCCGCCGCCCGCACGCCGCGACCCGCCACATCCACGATGAAGAAGTTCCAGATGCTCAAGGCGCCGTCGGCGCCGAGCCGCGGGAAGTCGCCGCCGCCCACGAAGCGGCTCGGCGCTTGCGGCCTGGCCGTCGCGGCTCGCGCGCCCGAGGTCGAAAACTTCAAGCGCGACAATGAGGACGCGGAGCGCGGCGGCGACGTCGAGGTCGTGCGCCGGTCCTTCATGCCCGGCATCCTGTCGACGACGGCCGTGACGGTCCGCCAGGGCTTCAAAAGCATCGGCGGCAAGCGGTCGAAGCGCGCGGACGAGCTACTCAAGCAGAAGTCCTTGGGCCGCAAGCGCATCAAGGGCGTGGGCCTCCAGTCCAAGTTCCTCTCCGGCCGCGACTTCGCCGCGGGCCAGGTCGTCGCGCCCATGCTCGACCTCTCGTTCACGACGGACGACTCCGCGAAGGAGGACGAGGAGGCAGAGGAGGAGCCGGCGCGCCGCGGCGTCCCCTTTGAGAATTTCGACGGCAAATCACCA